TCTTGCACCTGCATCTGTAGTACAGGTGATGAACTTAAGTAGGTGATGAAGAAGAGCTAACCTTCCAACAAACTGGTAGAAATTCTTAATTTGTCACCACCTCAGCACAGGTGACAAGCTACAAGCAAAATTACAGAATTAAGTATGTACTGTAATATTTTTATGAGACTCTGTTTATCTAATTTCATTTCAACATTTTACATAATTCATCAACATTAACTTTTCAATCAACAATGGTCTAATGGCCTCAAGACCTTTCAATCCCACCAATTATTTCTAAAGCTCCTTGGCAATATAGTGCTTCTCAAATTATATCACCGTGATCCTTAAAGTCAAATTTAGTCGATTGTAATTACGAATACAGTATTCCTTTAATATTCAATAATTCTTGATAGTAGTTTTATGTTGAACACATGAAGATAGTTTCGTTGTTGAGATAGTTTTATGTTGAACATATGAAGATAGTTTCATTGTTGAGACTATGTTGATACTTATAGTTTCATTTCTTCTTTTTTTAATTATTTCTAAATTGTTAATTGTGTGTTTGTGAACCACATTGGAAATCAGTAAAATTTACTATAAAATACATTTTAAATAAAAGAATAATATATTCTATTTTTCTATTAAAACCAATCTATGTTAATAAGATATTACTGGTATTCATTAATTAACTTTTGAGTTTAAAACCAATTATGCTACTCATAATTTGAATCCCTAAATTATTAATCAATAGAAAATAGGCTAACATTTATTTTAAATAAAAACTTCCACAAAAAAGCGTGTGGGAGAAACAAGGAATGTTTACAATTTGATGCAGTGCAATAAAATAAAAGCCATTGAATGCATTAATAATTTACAATCTTCCACATAATGTAAATTATGTAAGTATATCAGAAATAAATATTATTATATTTTGTCCATGGGATCATTATTCTTTTACAATTTTTCACAAGAGGATTTTGAAGACAGAGAAAGCCCATTAACCTAATAACTACGCTATATTGTAGTAGACAAACCAAGCAATGTCTTTAACGAAGTAATAGGTTCAATTAGAGGTAGGTTCATTGTTCCAAATTGGAAATTCTTGTGTTGATTTGTATCATACTCTATCCAATATAAGATAATGCACTTCTCATATGGTTTAAACATTGTTATAAATTGGTCAATTATTGCCATGCTCTGACATCTTAGTTTACTATATTGTAGTAGCCAATCAATAGATTATGTAGGCTATGTGGTAAGCTTATAAACTTCAGCAATAAAATTTAATATTGCAAATCTCTTCAGGCAAGTACTGTAGGCCTACAGTAAAAAGCTTAAAAAGCTTATACTGTATATGACCCGATTTACAAGAAAAGTACTTGTTATGTACTTTTGTAGATTTGTGAAAATTTGGTAGTTTGAACAGGGCTTAAGAGTATCAAACAATGACCCGAACCTGTGGACAGGGGACCTGTCAATCAGATACCCCATTCATCACCGGTAGAGTCTGGAACCTCTCAGACTTGAGTGCCCCCTGTTCTATGATAACAATGACTAGCTAAAACTAAAAATTATTGTTAATAATTATAGTTTTTCTACCTCATATTTTACTTGGATTAAGCATAAAATTTTGATGTTTTGTAATACTTAAAGCACATAGGTACAAAATAATGATGATCAAGATATAGTAGACCTAAAACACATGAATGAACAAACAAGTGAACGAACAAATGATAAAATACATGAAAGCCGCTTTGATGTTGGATTTAGATTGCTAGTTCAATGTGGCTTAGCTGCCGGCTGTGAATGGCAGTATGCGCCACTTGTCCAAGGAATGTCGTAGTGGCACATGGCCAACCTACATCTGCCAGAAATCATGTTTCTGGCAGATGTAGGATGTGAGAGACTGTGTATATGTATCCTATGAATGGCATAAAACAAACATACACATTTTTTGTTTTACTGTATTTGTTTGCTTGACTGATGTCACTGTCATAAAAATATTAAATTTTATTATTAAAATGTTGCAGAGTAGGCCAGGTTTACTGTTTACAGTATTCCATATCTTCAAATTAAATCATTTCAACAAAATTACCAGTTACTGTATGTTGCAGATTGTATTAAACTTGTTTTTCTTTTAATTAGTTAAAATATTAAAATATTTGTGTAGAATAACCCTCTATAAAACATAAAATACTGAATAGTAAAATAGAATAGAATGTATATCTACAATATACTACTGTCACCATGACAAAGATAAACTACTATTATACAGTGTTAGTATAGTACCTTTGACATGTGTTTGAACCAGTCCAAAATTGTGTTAAAAATTATACTGAATCACTAAATTTCTATAGAAGACAGAGAGTTCTTCTATTTTACAATAAAAATACTTAACACCGCCCCTCAAAATTTACTTATTAAAAAAAAATAATCTCCAATATTGCTTTATTTTTGCTTAACTTGGAGTACTGTAAATTCTAAGATTTATTCATCTCTCAATGCATATCATTACAGTATTCTTTGTAAGTTTAATAAAGTCAACTTTACAGATTATTGGATATTTTTTAGTAGGCTTAATGCTCATCAGTGTTGATCACATAATTCTCAGGTGGAAAAGTACCGGTACACTCACCACTGGTGGCTGATGTAATTGAAGCCCAATAGCGTGTAACTATGACAGGGTGCAACATTACCGACCCTATGGGTTACATAATTGATGAGATGATAGTTACATGAATGACATTGTCCAGATAGCAGTATAATAACAAGACCACACACACCATCAATGAACCCAACAACATGAGGTCATGTCACATGAGCATGTGACGTCATCTTTGACAGTTGAAGTGCAGGTGACAGAAGTATGGCGTCATCTTCAATGGGCATCTTCAGTTAGAAGCACAGCGATGTGATTTTTCAAAAAAAACACTTAATAAATTCAGACCTCCCTGTAGGATATGCATATTTTCCTGATCATCATCAGATAATTATTCAAAGCTGAAGTGTCTAGGGGGTTAAGGTAATAATTTATATACAGTAATAAAGGTCAAAAAGTATTTTCAAAACATAGTTAATCATCTATATTATAAAAGAAAGTTAAGTAACACTTGTAAAAAATGTAAGTTTTTTAATACTGATATAAATTTTAGGATCAGTTAGATAAGCTATCAGTAAAATTTAAATAATTAAAAGTGCTAGACATTTAGCCAAACTATTGTATTTTCTCATCCACAAATTTTAATTATGAAAGTAAATTTCATAAGATAGAAGTAAAGAAACCTGTGAGTTGTACCTTTACCAGGATAAATTTCTCACCAAAGGGTCAATTCATTTGGCTGCCCGATCAACTGCCGAAAGGCACACTTTTATCTGCCCACAATGGCAGGCCTGGATGGACAAGTACACAGGAGTAGCCAATTACTCTTATCGAAGGATGTAATAATAATAATAATAATAATTTCATTCTTCTATAGCGCATCCGCAAAAAGCCAGGTCTACGCTTATGCTACGATCAAATTTTCTTTCGCCAAAATGGTGAAAGGTTTTTAATTTTTTTCGCCAAATTGAAAATGCTTTAGCAAAATTTAAAAACCAATAAAATTTAACAAAAACGGTTCCGTAAATGAATTTCTTGCTTATTTATGTCATATTCATTTGTAACCAGTCATAAAGGCGGTAATAATAATAATATTAATGACTGAACAAACAAAACAAAACAAAAACAAAACGTTTACGATATGTGGGACCGATGGCTACACGACCTGCTCTAGGTAGGCCTAGTAGTGCTATGTTTAGGCCTTAGCTAGGCCCTAATTAAAATTTGGAGTAGAGAGTGCCTCACTTATTGGCATTACAAGCGACTGCTATTTTAAGTACTATTTCGTACAGTATAGTAGGCCCTACTTTTGCTCTACAGCATATCAAATGCAAAATTATCAATAGAATTGATGCTTTTATTTTGTTTGACATGCATTTTCGGTCTTCTGTACTCTTATCTAAACACAACACATTTTCGTCATCACAATAACCTTTCCTGAGGGCAGAGACCGCACCTCCGAAACCCTGATCGGCAAATGGTTAATTTTTTTGGGGGTGTGGTGGTGGCATGCAAACACGTGCTTCGAGCAGGATGACGTCAGATCGCCCAAAGTTTTACAGATGTGCGTGACACAGAAACAAGCTCAGTGTAAAACAAAGATTTAATTCAATAGACTTATAATAAATAAAGAAACCCTATTTAAGGGAAGCATTTATTGGTTGGTACGGTATGAGTGTCTCCAATAACCTCAGCCCCACCAGGATTGGGGCTGAGGTTAGAACATTTTGTAAAATTACAAGTCTAGATGCTCGGAAATAGCACTCAAGTTTTTAAAAAATGCCAGGCTACTGAAAAGAATCACCCGCAGAAACATGTTTTGAGTTTTTTTTTTCAATTTTGTTTAACATACTGTTGTGTCATTTTAATCAAATTATTATAATCTCCATGGCATGGCATGACAGTTCATTTTCACAGCATCTGGTAGACTTTTGCTTGTTGTTTCATTAACTGATCGTCTGGTTTTAAGAAGTTGATTTTTGTGTTTGGACCGCATAATACGTTTAGAATTATGAGAGATTTGCATTTTCAGAATATATGTATTAACTTAAGGAATATAACAACTATGTTTTAAATAACGAAATCGCTGAAGAAATATAGTTATAGCATTCACTCTTTTTTAGCATGGGAAAGTTAGTTTTAGCGTGTCACGTGCAGGCAATGATCAGAATGTTTGCTTCAAAACTGCCCATGCATGTCCATACGCATGCCCAGAACGATTTATCTATCTGGGATTTTCCACATGAACTTGATAGTGTCTGTAAATCTGTACTGAACTTGCGGTGAAAGTCACTTTATTAGCGAGGTAATATCTCTGCTGCTCAAGATAACTTAAGAAGAGCCGAGCCTGACTGGGACTGGGTTCTTAACAGTGCTCACAAGCCAATTGTGTATACTGGGCCTAGGTTTAGAGTTAGAAGAAGACTTGGTTCAGCAACTGGAGCTCAGAAGAAGACGTGAGAGTCAAACTTGCACCAACAATATTAGGGCTGCAGGTAATAATAGTCTCCCTGACATACTGTTCGACTACTCAAGTCACTCGCGCATACAGCACGATGTCGGCTTTGAAAAAGCTTTGACTTTCTTAAAATCATATTATAATAACAAAGGAAAAGAATTTTGAATTTTGTAATAGTGTATTACTACATGGTACACGTATACATTACGTGTTTTATTGTTGGTCGGTAATTTTTATTTTCGTGCAATGTTATTCATACAGTATGACGACAACATGTGATAATTTTAAATCTGAATTTTTATTTTTTTATATTCATACTTTGAAACATGACACTGACAGGCATCAACATTTCAGTCTTTCTTTAATTTCGTTTTTAATAATGAAGTAGATGAAACATCAACCGTTACATATCAGTGCCAGTAAGCGAGACTTTATGAATCATTATTCATTCAAGTTCTACAACAAATTACTAATAACATTCATGTCTATTTTTATGAAACTTTTACCCTGAACACGACTACACAGTAAAATGAATAAATTAATATCATAGTTAAGGGTAAAAATTGACAAACTTAGTAAAAGTAGTAGTAAAACACATGGTAGGCCTGTTACCAATGGATGTCCATAAAGGATGAAAGAAAAATGGTTTTGTTCAATTCATGGCTCAATAGTCAAAATAT